GAGAAGCACAGAACAGAGACCCCGGGGTGCCCCAGAAAGGTCATTGCAGGACTTCACTTTGCATCTACTCTGACCTTTGTCATCTGTCACCTCCCTCCCCCCTCTGTGAGGTCCAGCCCTCCACCGCCCCCACCCCCAGCTCCCTCACTCAGGTCAGTCCAGCCCTGATTTCCTGCCGTTGCAGGCCCCCGAGTCCCGTGCTGAGATGGCCGTGTCACTCACCTCCGTGTCTCTGTCCCCAGATCAAGCATTTTCACTTTACCATGATCGGGAGGACTCACACCCCTGCTGCCCTCGCCTTCTATTTATTGTGCTCTTCCTCTTGTCGCTTGAGAGCCACCGCGTAAGGCAGGGTGTCACCTGTCTTTCACGTGGCATGGCAACCCCAGAGAATGCACCATGGCCAAGTCGAGGCCTCAGGGGCGGCGGGTGTGTGGTGGCAGTTGTGTGACATGCAGCGGCTCTGTGTTTGCAGTTTTGTTGTTTTTCGCTGTTCTTGTGTTTTGGTATTTGGGTTTGGGCTCACCCCCAGCTATTGCCAGGGCTCACGCTTGGCTCTGTGCTCAGGGGTCACTTCTAGTGGAAGTCAGGGGTCCGGATGTGTGCTGGGGATGGAACCTGGTTGTCCACATGCCAGGCAAGGACCCCACCCACTGTCCTATCTTTCCAGCCAGCCTCCTGGTGTGCTTTAATACACATTTTCCCACTTGGGTTGCATGCCTGGTTTCCTGCCACGTGTAGATGCTCCTTTTGAAAACCATCTTGGCTGCCTTGTGAGACCCCAGCACGTCCTCTCCAGAGTTAAGAGCCGGTCTAGGAACTATGCCCAGCCCTGCAAAACTATGCCCCACTCTGCCCAGGGCATCAACCTACATTGTACTTCTCGAACTGACTCTTCCTCTAGTGCCATCCAAAGCAAACGTGCAAAGCTCAGCACCCACATGGGGCTTTTCCCCGCACTATGTCCATTGTCTAGAACTCTCCGTGCATGACTGGCTCTTTGCACTGTCTTATTATTCAATCATAACTGAAATGTTGCCTCCGCCACCGAATGTGGCCAATGGTTCTATCCGGAATAGGGGCCTCGCCGGCCCTGCCCATGCGCTCACTCTCTCTGCTTCACTGTAGAGTCCAGGGACGAACTGGAGCAGCCCTGTCATATGGTAGCCATCAGCTTCGTGCGGCCGTTAGCTCGGGAATGTGTCTGCCTCAGTTGGAGAGCTGGAGCTTTTGCTTCGTTTTCTTTATTTAGTTCCCATGGTCGCTATTTAACTAGCACCATGGCTGGTAGCTGTCCCCAGTGGACAGGGCACTCTAACACACGGCCTGTGTTGCTGCCTGTCTCTCTCCTGCTGCAGTCACCTTGGCTATCCATCTTCTCTCACTGATTTCCAGCCTCTCCCCTCACGCCAGAGTCTCTCTTTGTTGAACTGCTGGTGAGGCCTCAGAGGAGGGGCCCATATGCCGTCAGTGCTCATTGAACTTTATTTTTCTTAATGAGCTTTAGTTAAAATTAACTTTGAAAATGGGTAACTACTACTTGAGAGCACTTGGGAAGGGTTAAACCCCACCCCCCACGGGTCTTAATTTCTGATACTATCATGGCCCCTAAGGAACCCAGGAGTGTGAGGTGGGGACTTGGCTGTGTCATGAAGCTTGCTATCAAGTTGTCTGTGTTTTCTGGGTAAGACAGGAAGGCCCCAGGCATTCTCAGGACCCCAGGAGCACCTCCCAATAACTCTCGACCAAAAAAAACAGCAATTTCTTTGTGATGCCAGAAAACCCAGGGTGGTACCCAGTGATGTTGGGCCCGCTGTGAGGTATAGAACAAACTCGGGGTCGACTGCTTGCTTGGCCGGTACCGTAATCTCTGGACCAACTCTCCAGCCCCTCAAGAGCTCTACTTTTATGATCCATTTTGTGAGGTTGAGCTCAACCCTCTGCACTTATCCGCATCAGTTACATCTCCTAATATCTGCTGCCTTCCCATCTGCGAGAGGAATACAGAGACTTCTGCTCTCAATCCCTGTTGTTTATACGGCAAGATCAGATCTGTGGTTCTACCACACCCGTGGCCAGGGGTCTGCCCAGAGATATTGTCGTGGGGGTTAGGCTCAGATCCCAGATACTCGTGATTGTGATCAGACGCTGTAGAGGTGTCTAGGGCTGAGTTAGAGCCACGTCCTTATCTACCAGGCCTGAATCGGGGCATGAGTTTCCCTCAGGCTCAGTGCCCTTTCTCTGGTTTAGCTTTGTTCTCAGAGTAACTCTGAAAAATAGCAGAAATGCAGAAAAACGCGCTCTGTAAGATCTCCTGTGGGTAGCACTGTAGCACTGTCATCCCATTGTTTATCAATTTGCTCGAGTGGGCACCAGTAATGTCTCCACTGTGACTTGTTGTTACTGCGTTTGGCATATTGAATACGTCACGGGTAGCTTGCCAGGCTTTGCCGTGCGGACGAGATACTCTTGGTAGCTTGCCAGGCTCTTCGAGAGGGGCAGAGGAATCAAACCCGGGTCATCCAGGGTCGGCCGTGTGCAAGGCAAACATCCTACCCACTGTGCTATCGCTCCAGGGCAGATGTTTAAAAGACTGTCCACTTAACTATCTTCCCAATTCAGATATCCAGGCATCATTCACTCTGCCCCCAATTTAAAATGTGTGTGTGTGTGTGCACGTGCATGTGTATATGTGCATGGGTGCATGCTTGTTTGTGTGAATTTGCTAGTGGAAGGATGAAATGGCATTAAAGGAATGATGGCTATGATGACCCAACTACCTGGGTCCCAGCCACTGGAGTCATTTTTGTTTAGTAGCTTCACATTCCCTGCCCATGGCTGCCTCACACATGGGGACGCACAGACTGTCCTATGTGTCTCACTCAGTCGCCTAGGCAGACCCACAGGGTTAGTAACTCTCCCAGCTGGGGGTTTCGTTGACGCTGGCCCATGAGCCCCTGTCCTAGTGTCCTAGGGTCTGAAAGGGACACGCACCGATGAGGGACACGCACTGCGAGGCCCCACGAGAGCTTTTTTGTCTCAACAGAATGGGCAGCGGGTATCATGAGGCCGCGTGCAGGCCATCCCTGGCGTCTGACCAGCCCTGCTGCCTTCTGAAAGGAGGCGCTGCTCGCCACCTCTGGGGTTCTGCTTTGTAAAAGTGCTTCTCTTTGATGTCCCCCCACCCTTGGCTGGTTTGGACCATCGCGTCGGGACCGGCAGCAGCAGAAGCGAGTGGGAATTGTTCTGAGCTGCACTCCGTGGCACGCGCCCTAGATGCCGTCTTCAAAATAGTGTTTCTGGTGGGCCCCGCATCCACGCTGGTGAGTCCCACCCTCCAATGGGGTTGGCTTTGCCCCCTCCCGGGCAACACTTCATGGTGTCGGAGGTTGCGTGAGAATGGAGGAAGCTGGCAGACGGGGCAGTGTGGGTGAGCCCTGGGTGCCGCTGGTCGCGCTTCCTAAGCGTGGGGGTGTCCGCGTGGTCCACGTGAGAGGTGAGAACTTGGGTGAGCGCATGGCTCAGCATGAGGAGTTGTGCACCACTCAGTGCCCAGCTCACAACGGCCACTTCCGCACGTGGCCAAGGACAAGTGTCACCGTTCTGCCACCACGACCACCCAGTATAACCAAGTATAACCAAGGCCAAATAGCACTGCACTGCTCTGTAGCACTGTCCTCCCGTTGTTCATCAATTTGCTGGGCGGAACACCAGTAATGTCTCCATTGTGAGACTGTTACTGTTACTGTTTTTACCGTTTTACAGTAACTGTTTACTGTTGAAGCCTTCAGGGTCAGGTGAATGAGACCCATTGTAATTACTGGTTTTGGCATATCGAATACACAACGGAGAGCTTGCGAGGCTCTGCTGTGCGGGCGGAATACTCTCGGTAGCTTGTCAGGCTTTCCGAGAGGGATAGAGGCTTTTGGGGCCACCTTTAATCGCCCTCGTAGGCGTTACCATATTTGAACCCTATCAAATATGGTACGGCAATTCCGGAAGATGGGCATTTAGTGTCTTATAATGTGTCGCGCGGCTAGTTTTGGGCTACACTAGCACGCGACAGGGACAAATGGAGATGTTACTGGCGCCCGCTCGAGCAAATCGACGATTAACGGGAAGTCAAGTGATCAAGTGATCAAGTTTACTGTTACTATTACTGTTTTTGGCATATTGACTATTTCGCGGGGAGTTTGCCAGGCTCTGTTGTGCTGGTGGGATACTCTCAGTAGCTTGCCAGGCTCTCCAAGAGGGATGGAGGAATCGAACCCAGGTTGACTGTGTGCAAGGCAAACGCCCTGCCCACTGTGCTATCACTCCGCGCCAAGGTCAAACAGAGCAGGGCAAACGGGGTCTGGGGTCTCTGCGCCACCCAGGATGTGCGGGGCTGAAGCCCCTTCGGCCAGCATTGATTGGCACAGCTGGGCTTCAGCTTCTCCTTCTCTGCGGGCTCCCCTGTGGGGAGGCGCCAAGGGCTCTGTGGGACTGTGAATGCCCGGGCAGGAACCCCAGCTGCTGTCGGGGCCCCACAAACCCCTTCCTCGGAAAGGCACTCTCATACTCTCCCGCCCCTCGACCCTCCCTACACCCCCCCAAGTCTCCCTCCCTCTGCCCACCCCTGTGGAGCTGTTGTCCTATTTAGCCCAACGCTCTTTTTCTGCACATTGGTGAGAAAAAAACAGAAACAGCGCAAGCATCTTGGCATAGCTCCGGTGGGTTCCTTGTCGGTTCTCTCCTTCCTCTCCTTGTTGGCCTTTTCTAGACATCGTGTGCCACTTTGGTAACTTGATTGTGAGTTTCCCGAGAGTGGGGGGCAGGGGGGCAGCAGGAGGTGGTCTTCGTCTTTGACTCAGTAATGTTTGGCTCTGCTGCCCTCGTCCTCGTGAGGAGCCCCGGCCGCAGAGCCCGCCCGGTGCCCGGTGCTCCCCCGGGTGCCGTCACGCCTGCCTTCTCCTCGAAGCCGCCTTGGACTTCCTAATGCTCCTCCCTCTCCCCCGCAGCTCTCGGTGGAGACCATCGATGACAGTGGAAGGACCCTGGAGGGGCCGGTCCCGCTGGAGGTCATCATCATCGACCAGAACGACAACAGGCCCAGCTTCCGGGAAGGGCCCTACGTGGGCCACGTCATGGAAGGGTCACCCACAGGTAGGCCGTGCGCTTGGGATGGGGTGCCGTGGGTGGTGAGGGTTGGCGGTCTCAGGGCTGTTGGATGGCCGCTCCTGTTTGCCGTCTGAATAGGAGCGAGCGCCGGCAACGGGTCCAGGGGATGCATGGAAACTGGGTCCTCAGTGCGTCCGTCTCAGACTCCCCCGCGTGTCAGCCCAGCGCTGAGCTTTACGGGTGTAGTTGGGCTTTGCGGGAAATTAAGGTCTCTGCTGCAAGCCTCCGGGTCTTTCTTTTCACTGTTGCCTCTTAATGAAACCGTTTTGGAAAGCGATTGCTGCCCCGCACCCCTTCTTTAGAAGGTAGGCACGGAGCCGCCTTTGGTCTTCAGTCAGAGAGCCACAGGCAGAACATCTCCTTCCTCTCTCTGGAAACCGCCGTGCCTGCTCGTGCGGAAACCACTCTGGGGGGCCACAAAGCTCTTCTGCTTGTATTTAACCTTCCCGCCGGGGCAGACTTAGTGCGGAGGGCTCCCTTGGTGGGCCCAGTAGCTACTAATTAAAGCCCTCTGTGTCCAGCCGTAGGAGTCGCTCCTGAGAAAGTGAAGAACAAAGTAGAAAAGTCCCAATTATAAGAGCAGGCTTTGATTGCCCGCTTTAAATACATCTGGGTGGGAAAAGCCTTGCGTTAAGGGGATCGGCGTGGCGGTGTCTGGATTATGCCAAGCAGATCCTCACAAGAGTCACCCAGCGGGCCAGTCAGGCCCGGGAGCCCAGCCCAGGCCTGACCACTCCTCCCCCTGCCACCGAATTGATGGGCTGTAGCAAGAACATGCAGAGCCAGGCGTTGTCATGGCAACCTGCCCAGCCATCCAGGTGAATAGATGTATGCAAAGATATACCGTCGCTTCTGCCTAAAGAAGGTGCCGTGAGACCCCTGGGGCTAGAAGATCCCTCTCCTTCCTGGGATGTGGGTGCACCATAGGAAAACGGGGATCCCAGCTGCTTGGCCATAAAGAAACCAAATGTCGTGGGTGAGCCGGAGGGTGTTTAGGGAGCTGGTGGAGGGGTGATTGCAGGTTTCACTCAAGAGGCCCCTTCCGGTGGGAGAGTCGGGGCTGACAGTTTCCAGAGGAAGAGTCAGGGAGCTGGGGGTTTGCAGTTTCTGGGAATCTGAAACTTGCCCATGGGCAGAGCAAGTTGGGAGAGCTGGTAATCAAAGCTCTCGGGGGTAAGGCTGGAGCAGGGCTGTGACTTTGGCTTCCATCGGGGGACGAGGGTGCCAGGCCCTGTGCACGTGTGCGGCTAACTTGCATTTGAGACTTGCGGGAAAAAGCATTCTAAATGTAAATGACACGGAAACATGGGCGCGCGTCTCTTTGTATATTGTGTGCGTGTGTGTGTGCATGCGTGTGTGTGTGATTAGACGGTATCCAATTTTCTTCCCACTGTGCCTTAAAGTTTCTAAAGGAATTTCAAATGTTATTGCTTTGGATACTTGTCATGTTTTCAGAGAAATATGCAATCCTTGAGACGCATTCAATTTCTTAAGGCACAAAGTGATTGGGTTCCGTTGGGGAGGCATTTTCTGGAGAACAGGAACCGCCTCGGAGTTCTGCCGACGGTCCGCGTCAGCCGAGAAAGACACGTGAAGACTCGTGGGCAACTGTTTGGGGAGGCAGAATTTGGCCCGGGTGCATTTGACTCTAAAGCAAGGATTAAATAAAATAGAGCCGTTCAGGTTGGGGGAGGAGAGTCAAGCCTGGGGAAATGGCACGGATAGAGAAGAATTAATTGCACAGTTTCCTTAACACTTCGGCAGCATGGGCAAGGTGGCCTGAGAGTCAGCAGGAAGGCAGGAGTGACCCGGAGGGAAGGTGCGTCCCTCCCCCAGTGCCCCCCCCCCCACAGTCCCCTTCTTCAGTGGCACAGTGACTCTGTTCTCTGTGAGGGACCGTCCTCTCCTGCCCCACACCGCCCCCTTCCTCAGAGCCGCCAGAGTCCTTGTTCCGGATGCCAGTTCCAGAGAGGGCAGCTGGCAGCTGGAGAGAGCCTTGACCTGGCCATGTCTGCACCAATAAAAGATGAGGGTCGGCTTGCAGGATTTAGCCTGAGCCACCCAACTCCGCACCCCACACAGGTTCAGGACTCGACAGACGTTACGGTGAAAAGAACCATGAAACTCCCAAAGCATTGAGGGCCAGCCAGGTGCCAGAATTCACATCTTCACTGTTATTCCCTCCACACCATCGCATGAGACACCAGGTCCGTTTCAGCTGCCACCCAACATGCACGAGGGGAAGCAAACCTCAAAGTGGCCCCCACATGCCCACCAGGGATGCAGGGCCCCTGCTCCTGCCCCATGCTGCTCCCCGCGGCCAGCACCTGTGCGTTTCCACAAGGAGAGCAGAGCTGGGATCTTGACTGTGCCCTGGAATGCTCTGGAAGGAGGAGGGTCTGACAGTGCACGTGCGCAGGGAAGAACCCTCATGCGGGCCTCCCGGGGGTCCCCAGACCTCGCCTTCCCCACTCCCCTCTCCTTCAGGTTTCTTCCCATCAGGCACACGTGACCCAGTCGGCAGCCTTGTTCCAGGAGTCAAGACCTGACTCAGTTGCTCCTTCCTTCCCAGGAGCAGAGCCAAGTTGGGGGGCGGGGGAGAGAAAGGCCCTGGTGGCTGAGCCTGGCCTCTGGAGGGGCCAGTGGTGGGGCTCAGCCACCCCAAAGCAGGGACAGGGTCTGGCCTAGCCTTAGCTTGCGGGGGGGCCCCCGCCAGACTATTCCTCCGGCCTGCGGAGGTGGCCCTAGGGTCCATAGGTGCAAGGAGAGACCAACTGAATGAATACAAGACACAAGAGACATAATGCAGTTTAGAAGCAGAGAGGAAAAAGGGACAGGACAGGACAGGACTTTATCCAGGGCAGCAGGGGTATTATATACCTTGCGACGCAGGAAACTATGCTTACATCACAGAGGGCAATTACATCACTAGGTCATATCATATATGGTTAGGAGAATTACAAAGTCTACATGTTCCATATGCTTGGTTAGTCAGTGTCAGTTTCTTCTTATTCTTGGGCTAGCTGTGACAAATGTTTTCTTTTAGATAACTATACATAGCTCAGGATATGCATAGGCTGTGGTCAGAGAAGACACAGTACCAGATTTGCGCAAGTCAGGACCCACTTGTTCAGGGTCACATAGGCCAAGATAACCATACATAGCACAGGCACATAGGCCTTTGGTCAGTTAAAGGGCGAGCTTCCCACATTAGCTTACGAGGGACCCGCCCCTGATGCAGGTCAGGTGTGATGCAGAGCAGCGTGCTTGTGGCCTTTGGACAAATGTCCAACGTCGACCCTAAGTCCAGCCTCGCTCACCAGTGGTTGTTTCCAACCCTGCCCGCACCCCTCCGGGAGGGTCCCAGCCTGGCCAGTGCAGACATAGCTCAGCCTGCAGCCTTCTGGGACTGAAGTCACTTCTCGAGTCAGTGCATCCTTGGCTCCCGGCCACACTGTGGCTCTCCCCTCCTCTGCAGTCCACTTCGCGGCACCCTTGGGCTCCTATGAAATGTCCATGGGCACAGCCACAGCCCCGGTGGGGACACAGGCAGGACTTGGCTCCCTTAGGTCTGCAGCTCTCGGAAAACACAGTGCAGCGATTCAGCTATTTTGCTTTTTCCAAGTGAAACTCACTGAGTCGCCCTGAGCTCTCCTCCCCAGCCCCAGATGAGCCTCGTTTTTGTGCGGGGAGAATATTCCGGGTGTCTCCCATGGTCTGTGCTCCTGGGACCCACCTTTTCCAGAAACCACTGCCGGCTCCTTCCCATGGCTCACTTCCTGCCCTCCCCCCGGGCCCAGGGACACTCTCGGAAACCACGAAAGCGTCAGGCCCGGCTGGGAGTGGCCATCATCCTCTCCTTAGCGAGTCCCTGTTGATTTCGGCCATTTCCACTTTACCGCACTTGTGACCCATTGTCTGGGGGAACATCTCGAACCAGCTGGGATGGTTCCATCAGGGCTCAGGCAGGCGACTAGATACAGTGAGGCTTTGCTCCCTGCTCTGTGACGTGCTGCGTCTACTCCGTGACTCTCCAGGGGTTTCGGCCGGCTCCCCGTGAGAATGCAGCCACCGCCTCTTCCTGTGCGAAGCCTCTGACAAACACGTTCACTCCTTTGCTTTTCTGGACACAGCCTGGAGGCCCGAGCTTCTGCAGCTCGCGCCCTGCCCTGCACTAGGGTCCTCCAGGACCCCGTGGTGGGCTTTCTGGGTCCCGCCTCCCTTCTGGAATCATCCCTGGCATCCCTGCGCGGGGATATGGTGCCGGCACAGGCATCACTGGAGCATTGCATGTCCTTCCCATGGCCCCGACAGCACGGGGACCGCAGAGCAGGCCACTCGGAGCTGCTGATGCTAGAACACAATATCGCATGGAGTCCTGAGTGTTCAACCAAAGGGTTTCGAAGACAAATGCTCGCATGTCGAGTGTGTTCATAGGACCGCGTACTCAGAGTTGCTTAAAATCTTTTCTTATCTGCATTGGCTTTCAAGCAACTGAATCTCCAAGCAAGTTGATCCTGTCTAGGACTGGGGGGTGCCCAGGTGATGTCTCTAAACCAAATCACGTAAGCCCTTGTCAGAGGCACCAACCGGTCCCCCACTTTCCACCCCAACCCCCTTCCATAGGCACCACTGTGTTCGCTAAGACCTGTGATGCTGGTCCCCAAGATGCCGTGGCATTTAGGGGGGTGGGAGAAGGCCCGGCCCACTTTACTCTGTTGAGAGCATATTGCAGTGGGAAGGTCTCATCTCTAAGAGGGTGACTAAAGACAGCCCCCCACACCTGAGAGGAAGCGTGAGGCAGTGGGGGGTGACCACAGTCCAAGAGGCCACACTCCTCTGCATGTGGACCCTTCCCCTGGCCACCACATCCCGGTTCCTGGTCAGTTCCACAGGCTGGGTGACCTCTGCCTACTGTCCCTCTTGTTCCTGCTCGGTCCCCATCTCTGAGTCCTGGGCCCGGGGAACGTGCCACAGGCAAGAAG